CCCCCCCCCCGCCCCCCGCGAGGGTGTCCGCTCCGCCACCACGCGGACGCGTCGTAAGGCAAACAGGAAGATTCCCAGAGGGAAACTGTGAATGCTTCTGATTTAGCGATGCTGTGAATAAAAGAAAGATTTTATACCCTTGACTTCACTTTTTAACCAAGTTGTCTATTCCAAAGAATGGAATTTTTGGTTTGGGGCGGGGAGGGGTGGGGGAATGCAGCTCCTCTTGTTTTGGTATCTAATTCATAGTTTTAATTTTCTTTTCCAGCACCTTATAAATTGCAAAATGCGTATTTGCATTTGGGGTGGTTTTTATTTTTATATATATATATATATATATATAAATTTGAGCTTGCTTCTCTCTTGCTTTGACAATTGAAAGAACTATGATTCCTTTTTCTGTAAGATTTATTTAACTTTTCTTTTGGACTTTCGTGTAGTTGTTGTTTTAGAGAAACAGCTACAGCTTTGGGTCATTTTCAACTACTGTATTCCCACAAGGAATCCCTAGATATTTATGTATCTTGATGTTTAGACACTTACTTATGTGTTGATACTTTTTTTTATTATTTAAATGTACTTATATTAAGAAGAAAAATATCAAGTACTACATTTTTGTTTTTGATAGTAGCCAAAGTTAAATGTGTCACATTGGAGAAGGCTGGAAAAAAAGGACAGGCATTGAGATGACCGGGTTATCTAAATATTGTTTACATTAAACTCCCTTTCATGTTAATCAAACGAGTTGGTAGCTAACGCAGCAATGTTTTTAATAGGCTTTTTAGATACTGAGGGCCACTCAAAGGATCTGAAGTATGGAATTTTCTGCCAAGCTCAACAGAGGGTCTCCTATCTGACTCCCTCCCTTGGAACAGAGAAGGTCAGATCTGGTTCCAGAGGGTTCAGGTAGATGCCAATGATTGCACCTCTGGAGAGGATTTATTTTCTGCCTAGCAGTTTGCTCCCTCCACGGGCTCTTGATGATGTCAGACATGCTTTATAACCGAACAAATCCAAAGTAAGCCGTGTGGCAGAGAAGTATCCACATGGGAAGCCAGTGAATGAATTTATGGGTTCCTTAACTGCTCCCTCCCGGGGTAGTAAGGAGATCGTCCGAATCCAGAGTTCAGATTTTTTAGCTCCAAGAAAATAGTCGTGTTTGATACAGTCCCTGTTCCTTGATGCAGAACAAAACGTGTGGCTGTCCCCCGAGGCTGGGAGTGGAAGAAACTACAGACCGGGTGCCTTTGATGCCCGCAGGTCTCCAGCCGAAGTTTCAGAGGGTGGGCCTAGAGGCAGACCTGAACAGGCCAGTCTTCCTGTGTGCGCCCAGGTGGAGTCGCATGCGAAAGCATTGTCCCTCCCGAGCCGGACTCCGGACCCACGCTGCCCGTCCACCGCCCACCCTCGCGTTGCTTTCACCTACCTTGTGGGGTGTGTGTGTGTGCAGTTTTCTCCGTGCCTCAGCGGGACAGGAGAAATTCGCGCCACCGCTGCCCATGGCTACGATTCAAAAGTATCCAATGTCACTGTAAATTTTATGGCACTATTTTCATTGGAGAATTCGGTCAGAATGCAGTTGTTGTACAACTCCTAAATACTAACTGCTGATTTTGACATATGTGTGCTCAAAATGATCTGGTTGTTATTTAATGTACCTCTGACGTTAGCTGAAATGATTTCAGGTCAACTCTGAAGAGTATTTGAAAGCAGGACTTCAGAACAGTGTTTGATTTTTATTTTATAAATTTAAGGATTCAAATTAGAAAGATCTTTGGCTGCAGGCAGCAAAACAGCTGGTCTTATTTAAAACAACTTGTTTTTGAGTTTTCTTATATATATATATATATATTGATTATTTGTTTTACATAGATGCAGTAGCACTTTGGTAAGAAAGAGTAAAGCAGTTTGTTTTGTCAGTCAGGTCATTCTTATCTAGAAAAGAGCTAAAACAGATCTTGGAGAAACTCAGAATATATTCATTTTCAGCTTAGACATAATCCTCTCTCCACAACTCAACTTGATGTTTGATTCTGTATCACATTTTTACAGCAAAATTACCCTTGAATGTCAGTAAATTTAAGTGTTGGTTTTTTTTTTTTTATTTCTGAAAGGGACCTTTAGCCCATTTACCAAATCGAATCGAAGCGTTCTTTTCGGCACATGTGACCGTATCTGACCTGACAAAATCTGGGGGGGAAATGAAGGAAAAAACAATTTCTATTTTTCACTTCAGTTCCGGTACCTGAAGATATTCCAACTCAAAACCAGCCTAATGCCCTAGAAGGGGAATCAGAGGATCCTCCACATTGAATCTTTGCTCTCAAAGGCATGTATGAGGAGGGTTTGTCACTTCGTTGTAGACCCACTGGTTTGGCCATTCGGAGTTTCACAGTCCCTTACCAGCAAATGTAGTACTTAACTGGTCCAAAAAATTAAGTCAGATGTTACTTGTTATGGAGAGAGGCCTCACATCACACTTAATGCTTTTCCCCCTCCTGAGAAGTTGCATTCGTTGCCTTCAGGTACATTAAGGTGTCCCTTCAATCGAGGAGACCCTTAAGCCAATAATGTCCTAACTGGATGTATCTGGAAACATTGGTCCAAGAGAAGAAAGATTAAGCCATTTCTACTGCTCATTCGTGCCTTTATAATTTCAACATGAACGTGCATTTTCGTTCTTTTTGTTTTTCTCACTATATTTCTTTTATTACTTGCATTTCTTACATTACTTCTATTTCTTCCCTCCCCTGCGCCTGTAACATCTTGCTCTGTTTCGCTTCCCTTTCCTCCTCCGTTCTCCCGCTTTATTTGAGGAGACAGCACACACACCCCAACTCCGCACCAAATGTCCAGAACACGAGGAGCTGCCGTTCTCCTCCCTTTGCATAAAGGAACATGGTGAGTCAGCCTTTCTCCTGCCCATGGGTTTCTTCCAGCAGAACAGAGACCTTGCCAACCATTTTGGGTCGGCTTGCTGTCCAAGTGCGGCAACAGAAGCCTTCCTGGGCAAATTACAACCAGTGAGTTAATAGACAGCCTTTCTGCTGCCTCGGGTTTCTGTGCAGATAAACAGCAATGCTCTGATTAGAAAGGAAATGAATGGTTTCACTCAAATGGCCTGCAATTTATGCTTGCAGATTTCTGTCCTGAAATACCTGCTTCCTTAGGACATTCCGTCCTGGTGATTCTTGTTTTTGGTGGGTTTTGTTTTCTGGGGTATGACATATTTGGGGTCTTTTATACATGAAAAATCAGTTTGACGATAATCTCAGAAAACGTTTTTGACATCTGAACAAATGCCTTTTTGTTCACCTACAGGATACAATCGTTTGGGGTTTTTTTGTTTGTCTGTTTGGAGTTTGCCCCCCCCCCCTCCTTTTAGCCAGATCAGTATTGATGAGGCTGATCAACTGGCATTTTTTTTTCCTTCCAGAAGAGTTGCATCAACAAAGTTAATTGTATTTATGTATGTAAATAGATTTTAAGCTTCATTATAAAATATTGTTAATACCTGTAATAACTTTTTTTCAATTTTTTTGTGTGTGTTTCTAAGGACTTTTTCTTATGTTTGCTAAATACTGTAGACAAAAAAAAAATGCTTCTTTCTACTTTGTTTATTTTAGACTTAAAGATGAGCTACTTTTTATTCACTTTTGTAAAGAGCTAATAGCATGGTTCCAGGTTTGTTTGTTTTTTTTTTTTTAAGTTCACTTTTTGTTCTAGGGGAAATGAATGTGCAAAAAAAAGAAAAAGAAAAAAAAAGAACTGTTGGTTATTTGTGCTATTCTGGATGTATAAAAATCAATGGAAAACAAAATAAACTTCCAAATTGAAACGGCAGTAAAACACCTCTATTGACAAACTAACAATGGGAAACGCAGTCTTACTCCAACAGGCCCCACCCACCTAGTGTCTATTTGCCCGCGGTTACTGGATCTGTTCGCAAAGCCTCCTGGAAATGTGTGTGCGCTTTCTTTCTCCCCGGTACTGAAGCGTTGCATCCTTCCCAAAAGGAAACTGTCAATCTCGAGTTTTAAACCAGATACGGTATGAGAGAATTCCCCCCACCAGCCCCTCTCCAAGGTGTTTCTAGACGGGGTAGGGCAGGGGGTGGCCCCCATCGTGCGTGGGCTCCTGTCTGAGTGGCCGCCTCCCCTCTGCGGGGAGCCTTCCCCGAGCCCAGCCTGTGCAGGGCGGCTGGCCTGCTGCTGCCCGGGGACCACGGGAGCCTTACTCTCTTTGTACCACAGTCTCTTCTGTAAATCCAATCTCCTCGCTTAGCGAATGGCAAATAAACAGTTTGGCAAGTACATACACCCTCATCACACTGGTTTTGTCTGTTTCGGAGATGGAGGGCCGGGAAGCCAAAGGAAGGCCCCGCAGCACGCACAACACCTTCGGCAAGCTCTTCACGGGCTGGCTGGCCTTCGGGCTGGCGTCCGTGCCTTCTCCTCCCCGGGGGGGCCAGCACACCCTGGCTTCTGAGGCCAGGAGCGCCGAGGCCAAGCCCAGGCCCCCGGCGCTGCTTCGTCGGGCACGAAGGAGCAAGGAAGCACGCTCTCATGCCTATATAAAAGTAATAACTGATTTGAAAGA